TCTCTCTCTCTCTCACACACACACACACACACACACACACACACGAGGAACTACTCCTTTCAAGAGCTTCCTAAGGCCATGGCAGACAAGGGTTAGAAGGGATCTCAGAAGTCACTCAGACTCCAATTCCAGCTGGCTGCTTCGATGCTCCTTACAGTGTCCCCACCTCAGGGACACTCACATCTCTGCTTAAACTCTTTCCTGGCACAAGACAGCCTCTTTCGGGAGCTGTCCCACCCCGTCTGCGTTCTGAGTCCCCACCATACTCTGCCTCTCCTTCTGTGATGGCATGCAGTCCACTTTGGCTGTTTTTTAAGTGTGTAAACTTAACCTCCAGTGTACTATAAGATTTCGAAGTCAAGGCCTACAGAAACCCAACACCCTGGGAAGGAGCAGTGCTTTGCTAAGCACAGGAATGACTGTTGGCTGAAATGAATATAGGACTCCCAGAGAAGGAGCCTAGGACTAAAAGGGGAGGGGAAGGGGAGAGGGAGAGCCTCTAGAGAAGAGAGCGAAGACTCCAAATCAGAAGAGGACAATGAACAGAGCAGGGACAATATTCAGAAAGATCTCACCCACAGGAGTCATTAGCTACAGAAGAAATCTACCCTCAGCAGACAGAGGGCAATTCTCCCCCAAGGCCATGCCAGCACCCAGGTGGGTTTAAGGGATCCAATCACGTCCTTGCGAGCGTCCGGAGCACAGATGCTTACCTGTGCAATTTTGGCATCATCCTGCAGCTTCTTCAGCTTCCCCTCATTGTTGAGGATGAACTCTTTCAGCAGTGTGTTGTGGTCATGCATGGTGTACTCCCTCTTGGTTAAGTCCATGCCCCTCTGGAGCTCCTTGACGTCCAGCAACACATTTTCGAGGGAGACTGAAGTAGAGACAGCAATGTCCCCATGAATGTCAAAACCCCAGTGAGTCTGGCTGGTAAGCCCAGTTCTCAGTGGATTCCTAGGGTCACTCAAGGACCTTATATCTTTCAGAGCAAAGACCTTACAATATGAATAATTTACTAGTGCTCACTACCCCGCGCGGCATTAATTTCTGTATGTGCACTAATTCATTTGCACTTAGTCCAACTTGCCAACAACAAAAAGCAGCATAAAGAGGTTACATGGCCTGCCCTATGTTGCACAGGTAGGAAGTGGCCAAAATGGAGTTCAGAGAACAACCATGGACCCCACATTCTGGGATTATACCAAACTATTCCATCTGTCTTACAGGAGGATAACCTACCCGTGGGTCTGTAGGCTCAGAGACTCCTTAACTGTGCAGGGCCCAGGATCTGATCCTCTAACACTCTAACCTCATTTACATTTCTGTGGCTCTCCAGCAGGGGGTAGCACTGAGATGTCGAACTTTAGTACCATTGACCATTAGAAACCAAGCAAGCTTGGACAGCTTCTTGTCAAAGAAGCCTTCCCTGCTTCAGAAGGACTTCTCAGCACGAACCTTTCCATCTGCAGTGTGGCCACCCTCCCAGAGCAGTCTTCCTGGTACCTTCCACACCCACCTTCCCCTCTGGCTCCCCGCTGCCCGACTCAGCTCTGCACGTGGATGAATTACACAAGGAGGTTAGGTTTTTCCCTTGCTAGACTCACACGGTCTTACTCAACTCTGACTCCTCAATGCCTAGGACAGTGCCCAGTACACCACAGGGACTCAGAAAGGCTCACTGGATTAGCAAAGGGAGTGACTGGATAAAGGAGTGAAGGTATAAAGAATACATGTCAGCTCACCTGGACACCAGAGAGAGAACACAGAGAACAATGCAGCCAGAGAACCTCCATCTCTCCACCTGCCCTGACTGATTTTTTTCAACGCTTCTGGGGAATCTCAGTTGGGCCAAACAAAATGGTCAAAACAAAAATTTGTTAAACTTTTTTTTTTTTTAATTAGAATTGTGATGCTAAAGAATCCCTAAATTTAGGCAAAGAGAAACCTGGAAGGAGGAAAATCACTGCCTCCTGAGCCCTAAGCCCTCAGTGGATCTGTCACAGCCTGCTCTGCACAGCTCTTCAGTCAAAATATCTGTCTCCCCTGCTTCTCAGCCTCCACTACGGCTCCCTCAGGACCCGTCCCCAGTTAGCACTGCGTCATCTCATTCATTCATTCACTCATCTACCTATGCCCCCAGCAATTTACTAGGGGCTACAGGAATTATAAATAAAACTTGATTATACTCATAAATCCACAGATTGGAATGGACATGCAAACTGTTATAATAAAATTTGAGAAATCTTGTATGAAAGAGTAGTGCGGAGTGCTCTGTAGTAAGAACACAAAAGGAGCGGCCATTTACTTTGAGGAAGTCAGAGAAAGCCTTGCCCAAAAAGATTCAATTCACTAAGTCTGAAGTAGGCCCCGGGAATATGAATTTATAATAAACACCTTGGCTGCTCGGGGCTCAAGATCCTAATGTGAGAATCACAGTATGTAATCAACTCTGGGGTCAATGTGCTTCTGGTTCCTTTTTCTCACTGAAAAAGTCTTTGGATCGCTTCTCGGCCTTCTGGCTGAGATCAAGTGAACAATCTTTGGAGAGGACATGGTACATTAGACAATAAAGTATATGAGAAGACGTGGGTTCTAGTCCTGTTTCTATCACATTCTACGCATGTGACCTTGGGCAAGCTACATAACCTCTAAAAGTATCAGTTTTCTCATCGGTAACATGGGGATACCATTACGTACCTATTATAGCCCAGCTATCTCAGAACCATTTGATGATTTAAATGAGAAAATGCGTAACTGCTATGGCAAAATAACAGCCAAAAGTACTGATAATTTAGCTTGTGCTCAGGCTAAGGCACAATGCTTGGAACTACCAAACCTGAGCAAGTGGGATGGCACAAAGTCAAACTGAAGTATTTCTTGGGGGGTGATTTTCAGATTTTCACTCTCGTGTTTCAACAACAGCAATAGACTAAGAAGGACATCGAATGGAAGAGGGAAGCTGCCCAAGGTCCAGAGCCCAGACTCTGTACAGAGGACACAGAGAGGTCTCCCTTGTGTCCCTAGTTGCTACGGCTCCCAGGCGTGGGCAACACCATGGCCTACACACTCCAGCCAAGAGCATCCGACTTTTCACCTTGCCTTTCCAAAGGGGTTCCAAAGAAGCAGGGGATGGCTCCCCTAGGACCCATGATTAAAGGTACTTGATACCCAAGGGTAACAGGAAGAGCAGAAGTCAAGTACCTGCAGCAGCTTTCTCCACATAGTGAAGCTCATTATAAAACAGGGACACTTGGTGATATTTCTCTTTTACCACATTTGAAATGTAGTGCAACAGTGTTTGCTTTCGGTCTGTTGACTTTGTATCTAAGAGCTGAAAACAAAAGGAATATGGGTTAGAGTGAAAGAAGATGGGAAGCTTTCCCCCCCACATGATGTCCTTCCACTCAGAGTATCTGAGTACAGCACCCCAAAGTGGACAAAAAATACCCCCATGGGAGGATCAAGCCTGGACATATTCTTCGCTAAACCGGCCCACTAACTTGTAAAAGAGACCACAGGACCTCTCCAACCGGGGGTATGTTCAGTGTTGGGGACGATTCCAACACACATCTCTACCCACACAAAACCACCCCACCGCACATCTGCCACACCACCTCCCCTGGCTAAAAAGTAGGAAGCCCCCAGTTTGAGTGCTTTCCAAAGTGAAGGAGCAGAGGAGTGAGCGTGGAACCGGCAGGCGTGCAGGTACTGCCCACAAGATAGGACTCCCACACTGCAGTCTACACATTTCTAGTTCAGCGCTCTCTCATTCCCCAGCCTCCATGACACAAAGCAGCTGGGCTTACCACACATGACCCTCCTGGGCCAGAACTGGGACTAACTGGACACTCCCTACCAAACAGCCATGTCTCCCCAGGGCTCGGGACTCAACCCACTGCCCAACCTTCTCACGTGGAAGCCACGTTAGCCCCACACAGCCTTGGGGGAAGAGGATTTCACGGAGGATTGTCTCTAGTCCTGCCCATCTAAGTCAGATGACTCCGAAAAGCAGCACACACTTTTCCATCCAGGGAAGGGAGGGGGGAGAGGGATAGATATATAGATAAAATAGATACATATGTATATTTAGAAAATACAGAAAAGTAAAAAGAAGCACTTTGGAAAAAAAAAATCCCTCATTCTGTCCAATCTCTCTGTTAATATCTTAACCCACTTCCATTCAGGTTTTTCCTGCGTATTTTACTTGAGTGAAATCAATTAGTCCATGCAATTTATACTCTTTTCTAAACACAAGATTATCTATTTCTTTGAAAATTCTTCACATTCTAAGAGTTGAAGAATAGTTCACCATATTAACTATTGTTATAGTTAGTAATTTTCCAAAATGTTGGATCTTTACATTGTTTCTAATTATTTGCAATTATAAAATAAAGCATTCATAATTCAGATTCCTGAGGAAAGAGTCCCAGATATGGAAACACTGGGTCAAAAGGCATGAGGATTTTTTAAGGTTCTAAGTGCTCGTTGCCAAATGATGTTCCAGAAAATTATACCAGTTGGTTCTCCAACTAGCAGACAATACTTGGTTGATTTAGGTTTCACATTCACTGAAATTCACTAAAATTATTCCTATAATTTTAGAATATCATTGTTTGAAAAACATACATTTTCTAATGTTTTTGATATTTGAAAATAAAAAAAAAAAACCTTTGCTTGTTTATTTCTGGAAAAAAAAAAATCCCACTCCCATTTCCAAGAGCTGACTCTCCTCCACCCTGGGACTTAAATCTCTGCCAGCTCTTTTGTCCCTTGAATAGCCTTGTATTTCTTTTAGTTCACTCACCAGATCTAAACTCTGAAGTTTAAATCCATAAACTGCTCCTCGTTTACTGCTATTCATATAGTTTCCAAGGGCCAAGATGATCTGCAAAATGAGAGAGAGAAAGCAGCCCATTAGTAGAGCATCCCAGGCATTCCCAGGCCCAGGAATTCAGCTGACAAGTCAATTCTTCCCTGTATGTATATGAGGAAAACTTTACTTGCCTCCAGAATTTTTTTGAGTTTTTGGGACGACTTTATAGAGACAGATGCTGCTATAATTGAGTGCAGTTGCTAGATTCCATTCAAAGGAAGGAAGGGGAGGGGAGAGAAAGAGAGACATGTTAAAAATAAACTCTAATTAGAAACTAAAATTTAACACAAAAGAAAATAGACCTGCATTTAGACCTTAAAGCCTTAATGCTGAGGTTCTATTTTTCCTCAACATAACAAATTTAAGTTGTCCTGCCAGGGTCTTAGGCAATCATATCTTTACATGCAAGCTCTTCTCTCAAAGTATTTGAAATGAGAAGAAATGTTAGAACTTGCTTATCACAAAATCTGTAACCAATGGGACTCAGAGCTTGGAGTCAACAGCATCTTCTAGTAGAACTCAATTCCCTGCCCACCACCTGGAACCATGTTTTTAAATCAATGGAGTTGTCCAGGAATGAAAACAAAACAGCAAAGAAACATAAACCCCCCAGAAGTCCTCAGAACATATTGTGAACAGACATGCTACTGTAATCAGTAATTAACAAAAGTGTATTTAGAAACAGAACTGGGAAAGAACTATTTATGATATTTATGTTTACAATGTTCATAAGTCTCTACCAGATTAACACAAAGAAACAAAAGATGGTTGGCTACTATTTCTCCATCACCATGGTGTACTATAACAGATTTCCAAGGAAAAAGACTCCTATGGTAAATTTATAATGCTTCCAATGAAAGCCAGTAAGCCTGTTCATTAAAGATACAGGATCATTTTTAGAAATGAAAGCAACATTTTCAGCCTTGCCAAACCAGTCAGTCGGAGGACTGGCATCTTCGGGAGGGGAACAAGTTTGAGAAAATGATCTCCCTGGTCCTATGTATTGAGGGGGAAGCCCGGAGGACATCTGTAGACACAGAAACTGGCATTCTATGGAGGAGAATAGCAATATGGAAAATGGAAATTCACCATTTTCACATTTAGTTGGCATACACAATGTGAAAAGGAATGGACAAAATAAAAATGCAATCTAGAAAGTTCTGGGAAGGAGTCTTTAGAGCCCATGATGTTAAGTACAATTTTGGAAGAGACTTAAAAAATGATACTGTATCCCTGCCAGAGCTGGTCCACTTACAGGAGTCAGCATCTGAATGCTTTCCGCAAAGTTCCCAATGAAGGCCATGATGGTCATCTTCTGCATGAGTCTCTCAATTTTACTGAACTGCATCATGAACCGGTCTTCATCTGACAAGTTCTCCAGGGGCTTCCTTTCCCGCTCATAGAGCCGAAACACTTTCACCTCGTTCTCAGTTGGCAAGAACCTCATCAAACATTCTACAAAGTCTACAGGCAATGTCTTCAAGTCAAATCTGAAGACAGATGTGGACATGTCAGTGTTAGAGAGAAAACCTCCTACCTTTACAACCGCACCCCCATTTGGTCCTGCTCTTCAACCACCATTGCAACGAACTGATGATGTCTACAGCCAAACGGTGGAGATGCCACTTGGTGCTGGCTCATGACTGCCCAACAAGTAGCTCCAGTGGTCCTTTCTGAGAACCTAGGCCTCATCACAACATCCATACTCAGTTTTTAGCCCATTACTATTGATCTAAGTCTCCAGAAAGCAACACTTAAATGACAGGAAGAGCAAGAAGGAAGGCTGAAGCATCTGATGTTTAAGTGGTTCAAGGACACAGTTTTTAAGGCATATTAAGTACTGCTAATTAAGGAGACTGATATTATACACACAATTACAGAATATCTGGTAAACTCTAATATTTTTCAATTAAACCAACAGTCTGGACTATTTTTTCTACATTAGGAAAAAAAGGTATCCAAATGCCTGTACTAAATGGATGTTTTGGTTTAAATGCGTACATCCCTTGAAGGTATATCAGGTCTCTTTGGATATATGCTCAATTTGAACAAACAGAATATTTGCTACAATCTCTATTTTCTTCCCTGGACAATCTTTGTCCAGCAAAGTGATAGAATTATATCTAATCATCATGATAAATACGGCATCTATAGATTAAAAACCAGAATGCCTATCATGTTTCAACATCAGAAATCAGAACAGAATATAGGATACACTAGACTATTGGATTTTGATCCTGAGGACATGAAATTGGAACAAATGATTTCTGAGGGTCACATACTCCCCTAAAGATCTCTTACCGAAATTTACGAAATACCAATTTACACTGAATTCATTCCTAACACATCTAAAACATTTGTTCCTAATCATATTTGAAATCCACCATGATGACCACAAGAAGGGCAGAAAGATTCCTCTCATAGAAAAGTAAATAAAACCAATGCCTTCTCTGCAATCCAGGGATAAGAAAAGAACTGAACTTTAAAATTTCCTGAAAGCTGCTAAGAGAAACAGGAATCACATTCCTATTGTTATGAACTAAAATATGCATCTGTATCACATTTGCATCTGGCACTGAATTGTATCATTCCACAAATGCCATCAAATTTGTATTCAACAAATCCAGAGAAAATTCAGATACTCCAGAGCAAATGAACAGTCTCTCCCTTTTTTTAGCATCTGTAATTCTCCACTCCTTGTAGGTATGCATTGCTATAGACATACAGGAAAGCAGACCAAGTTAATAAATGATGTCCTGATCCAGTTGTTACTCTTCTAAAATAATTTTCGCTCGAATACAGCGCTCACAAGGGTAATTTCTGGCCTGCCTCTTTAGTGCTAGCATTCCATTCAACTCTGAAGTCACACATACTTAGCAAAGGGAACCTTTGGTATGTGGATATCAAGGATTGCTCCATCTTTTATCTTCCATCTTGCCCTATTGAAATATTTATGTTATCTACCAATCATAACTTTCTTATTTTTGTTTTTATCCTAAATTCACTAGAATAGAATTTTCCAGAATGCCCTGAACTTACACATGTATAGCTTTACATATCTCATCAGCAGTCTTTCCAGCTTTCCTTAAAGTTATGGCAAGATTTTTGGCCCTATTTGCTTCTAGTAATGTCACTTTGTTGGATCCCTTCTGTGTTATCTTCTGTTTGCTTGAAGAAAGATCAATGGCAGGACCTTGGGCTTTTGTCTTAAATATTTCCTCAAATTCATCCACATTTAAATCCTGGAGTAGAGAGGGATGAAATAGGCAAATTGGATTACACCTAAAAATTAAGTCGGAAACCATTCTGCCAGTTTCTTAAGCATCAAAGAACTTCCTTTTTCTACTCAGTACTTGCCTTTGACCATGGCTTACTCTATTTTCCTGTTCGTGCTATGGCATGACTCAGGCCACACATACAGCTATGAACGTCTGAACTAGAGAACTGATTCCATCTGGCCAACTCAACAGCTCTTCCCGAATTACCTTGCAGGGCCGGCCACCACAGGCTAAAACTATCAAACCAGATAGTGAGTGTGATTATTGAGTTCTTATTCACTTAGAGTTCAATAAAGGGTTTTTTTATGCCCTTTTATAAATGAAGGGCAGGGCTTATGTCAGATACATATTTTGTGGCATCCACTGAAGATAATTACAACCAACCCATAGTAACATAACTTTTTTTTTTAAAGATTATATTTATTTATTTGATAGAGAGCACAGTAGGCAGAGTGGCAGGCAGAGGGAGAGGGAGAAGTAGGCTCCCAGCTGAGCAGGGAGCCCTATGCGGGGCTTGATCCCAGGACACTGGGATCATGACCTGAGCTGAAGGCAGACGCTTAACAGACTGAGCCACCCAGGTGCCCCGTAACATAACTTTTTAAACACAGTTTTGAAACCACCTTACAAAATAGTGTCCAATTTTATTCTCTAATATTAAAAATCCTTTTCTTCTTTACATCAAGGCATTTAAAACACTGGCATTGTGTCACTGAACCTTCCAGGTTAGCAGAGCACCCATTTTAGCTTTGCTGCCCAGAGAGCCCTCCCTGTTTCTAACCAATGAGAAAGATACCTCCAGAATTCGCTCATCATCAATTTCGTTGAAGACCGTGCCATTGATCTGATTTGGTTTCAGGGCAACCCAGTTAAAAACTGGCATTCTGAATTTCGTCTTGATTGGCTTCTTAATTTTCACAGCTACAGAAGTCAGAGAGGATGAAATTAAGACTCCACCAAAACCCCACGATCCTCAAGAACAATCAGAGAATAGTCCTTGCAGATGACACTTTAACACTGGGGGAACACAGGCAAGAGGCGCCCAAGTGTTTTTAAACATACAAAACATCACACATGGCTTTGGCTAGGGCAATCTGAGGTCATTTGGTTGAATGATGCAACATTATGGTAAAGTTGGCTAAGAGCCAGGGGTTGTTTTGTTGTTGTTGTTGTTTAATGCAGGCAAATGGATTGCTCTGTTACACTCACAATGTTAGGACAATGCTTAAGACAAACTATTGGGGAGCAAAAATTATTAATAATGTTAGACAGGAGAGAGGACAAATGCTCTGTAACACAGGTGAGTGTGAGTCAGATTGTGAAATCTTAAATTCTTGGTTCTAGAACACATATTTCCAAACCAATGTTAAAAGACAATCAGAGACTGCAGGTAAGTGGCTGACTACAGCACCAGGATTGTGATGTCAGGAAGGCTGGCTTTCTGCTGGAGCAATACATTCTTGTGGGCCATTTTGACAATGGGGATTATACTGATGCTGAGTTATCCCAACCAGACCAAGGGCCACGAACAGCTCAAAATAGAAAATATTTAAGACGACAGAAGGGGTACTCAGAAATCAGGATTAGTATTGCTTTTCGAGAATGGCCACGGTCCTGTCCCCCCCGCTTTAAAGAGCAAGTTCTCCCCAGGAGTCAGCTACATGTGACTAGAAGGCATCCATGAACCCATGAAAAACACAGAAAACCTCTTAATAGAGAGGAAGGGATATCTGTCTTTGAGGGTCAGGTGAGGAATTGTCAACTCCTCTTACTGTGGGGAGATGCACTAAAAAAGGAAATTCGTCAAAAATTCCACAAATTAATTACACATCATAAAGAGGTCTTCCCAAACCATCTACATATATTTATGTATATACATATATATATATATATATATATGTGTGTGTATGTATATACACACACACATACCTTCTTAAGTCTGTCCTGGGCTGCCCAGCACACTATTTGGGAGCTCCGCTATTTGCCATCATTAGTAAGGGAGAGAGAAGGGCAGTACAGAACAAAATAAACCCAATGCACACTGGGCTTTCCCCTGGCTGCCTGCCATTCCTCCAGAGTTACGAAGGCCACATACACAGCAGGAATGTCATCTGATAAATCCACACAAAAGCATGCAGGAACACAGAAACACAGCTTTTGCCAAACCAGGTCATTCTACCACCATGACACCATAAGCCCCACCACCCGACAGTGTTGGACAGCTCACCGCACTTCATTTTGGACTACAATGCCCAGGAAAACCCGTGTCCTCTGTGGGACAAAGGAACAGACCTTCCTCTAACCTGGCATGTGAGCGATATGGAGGGAGAAGGGGGAGTAGGGGAGAAGCTGTGCAGGGATCTTTCCACAATCTGAGCCGGTGTGTCCATGCCATTTGGTTCCACCACCCATCCATGGACACCGCAGGCCCCAGGACATGCACTGAAAGTCATCCCATCTGCAGCTACCCTACTTTTAATTTGTCAGCAAAATTAGGAATAAGCCTGAGATCAGAACACAGGCAAAAAAAAAAAAAAAAAAGTTTTCAGAAAGCTGTCCTAACTCCAACTGGGGAATGAGGGGTAGGTTACAGGAGGGGGCGCCTACAGGTGACCATGACAGACACTGTGCTCCCAGCATTCAGGCTAAAGGAGTGGCTGTGTGTGGGTGGGCGTGTGTTCCATGGACAGAGCCGGAGACCAGCAGGAAGGGCCTGGAAAAGCAGCACTTAGCAGTTGGTCCTTGTTCTATGGAGCAACTACCTTTTTTCCCCAGAATAAATTGAAAATCCTCCTAGAGCGGAGGCCTTAGATTCAGCTATGACCATTAAACTAAGAGAAAAAAGCACTCCTTTTCTTTCAGGGCAGAAGGAATATGGCCTATGAAATCCAGGCTGCCTGCTTACAGAGCCATAATCTCTTCTACAAAAAGTGTGTGGGCAAACCTAGACCAACTGTCAACCAATAGCGAGACTTCCCGCACACACAGGGTCAAAATGCAATGGTTCAGTGTAAGATGGAATGAAAAGATGTGAAGGCACAGTGTGATCAACAGAAACACATGGTAAATACCACACTCAGTGAAGAGCAACCTACAGAAAAGCTTGATTGGCCCATCTTTTGTGGAAGCAGAAAGAACAAAGAAAATACAAAAAAAAAAAAAAATTAGATATGGTTAGAGTCGAGCCACTCAGCAGTTCACGCACTCTTAGCATTCTTGGACACATTTCACAAGGCAGCACAGAACCATAAATGCATTCCTATTCGGGCCTGCCTTGAAGACTCATTATTTTGTTTTAAAAAGTAATCCTTCTTAGAAGAGGGGAAAAAATGATCTCATTATCGTGGTCCCAAACAGCCATATTGAACTGTGCTAGGTATTCCATAAGATATGAGCAATGTTTTAAGAAAACCATCAGCCAAGTACAAATTCTCACTGTGAACTTACAAAGCACCTTCTCCCAAAGAGACAGCAAAGGTTACAGACTGCCCAGGCATCTGTCACAGATGACTGACACGGAAAATGGGAACCAGACTGCTCTAGCACAGATGTAAGGAGGTAAGCCTAATGCTTCAAATATACATTCCACACTGTGCATCTTCTCTATAAAATGCGAAGACAACTTCACTAGATAAAATTAGAGGACTGCATTCAGGTCCCCTGTCTTGGCCACCACGCACACACCTGGGTCATTGCCTACCGAAGAGATAGGCCATCCTGTTGCCCATGGATCCAAGGGCCTAGCAATGTCACAGGTTTCTGGGTTCCAGGAGCCCGGGGCATATCATCTCAGCTCTGTGCCTTGCCTCTACTGGGACATCCTGATTCTGTCTGGCTTCTTCATTCCAGGGAGAAAGTTACCCCACACATTGGCAACCCATCTCACAAAATGTGCTACATAACGGTCTTATAATCCTTAGATCTTGTAAAACAGAACATCTTGTCATTGTTTAATGGACACTTAGGGCACCGAAGAGGAGATTCTTAAGTCCCACCCACAGCCCTCTAAAAATGGTGTAAGACACAAAGGGGACAGCCTCCAGCTGCAGCAACCCTGAAGGCAGCAGTGGGTCATCAGCTGAATAGAGTTCCACGCCGTACAGTTGAGGCAATCCAGAGACCCTGCAAGTGTTAAAGATTAAGTCGTGGGAAGAGTCCAGAGGGGACCAGACTCTGAAGGGAGCCCTGGACCTGCACATCTCAGCCTCACGCCAAGGCAGTTCTGAGTTCTAGGTGAGAGCTCGGTGGATGGAAGTAGAGGCTCTATCGTGTTAGGTTGTGCTCAAGAGAAAGGAGGTGGTACCCAACGAGAGCCACCACAGCAGCCACGGGCCACGGTGAACGCTCTCAGGGCGCTACGAGGGAAGCCTCATCTGTGAGCCAGGCGTACATGGCAACTACAGGTTTTCACACTCAGTGCCTAAGAGCAGCCTGTCGATGGAAGGAATTCCTGGGGCCTGCTAAGAGGTTTTTGGTTCACATTCTAAAATCCAATAGTTCCACAATGACACACCTTCAACTTTTGTCCTTAGGAAGCAATAAAAGTTCTAGAAGAAAGGAGGAGACGGGGGTGACCTTGAACGGTAGAACTGAATCACTGGATTCCTGTGAACATTACTTTCAACAGGCCCCTTGTTTGTTTCTTGGACTTTACAGAAGTTGGGGTGGAAGGAAACACCACAGACTCGGTGTGGAACAAGGTAGCTCTTGGGTGGCTTTCTGGTGCCTGAAAGGGCTTCGGTCACTAGGATGAATCAGTCCTACTGACTGGCCAGTACACCTGCTGATGGGACGGCGGTCAGGGGACTCTCCCACAGCTAAGACGGTCATTAGACATTGGACAGAAGGCTGAGAACTACCGCACCTAACAGAGTGGAAATAAGAGACCGAAGTGGAGGAGAAAGCAGAATTTTCTGACGTCACAGAGACAGCACGGCAAAGCTCAGAGCTCACGGCAATTTCAAAATGCCAGGGAAATGCTCCATGACGGGGAAAATGGCTTGTGGTATTTTAGAAAAGAGTAAAAAGTCACTTCCATGAGTCAAAAAATCCGAACTCCTATTTCAAGGCATTAGAACCACTCTCTTTGTCTCGCCCCCCACACACCGTGTTTTATTTCTGGTGAGGTGGGGATGCCGCATTCTCTCCTGTTAGCAGGGGGGCAGTGTGCACGATTCAGAAGCGTTTCAAGGCACAGAGATACCGCTGTTGGCAACGTGTCCCTTGAAGCTTCAGTTGCACTATAGTGAATTCTGAGGTCTTCAAATGCACAGAAGAGATGCCTGGAAGCCTACATCGGGCAATTATGCAGAGCCATTTTCCCCTTTTGTAAATGACGCTGCGAATACCTTCCAAAAACAGAACCGAGAGCACCAGAAGCACCGTGTGTCAGAGCTCCGACTAGTACAGATGCCCACAAGTGTTCCATGAATCCATGAAAATGCACTGACCCCTAAGAAGGTAACTCGTCTTCCTTCCCCTTTCTAGGTGGGGAGAGTGGAAGGTGGGAAGTCTGCAAAATCAGAACTCCCTGTTAGAGGGAAACAACAGCTATGCAGAGAAAAATGCCCCTGTGCATGGCTTCCCCTTTCCTGGCTACATTAGCAGCACTGCTCTTAGATTAAGAGGAGGTACATGGGCTTGCAAGAGACCTGGACTTTCAAAGAGGCTTTAAAGCCTCTGGAGGTAACACAAATGAGTATTTCGTACACGGGTACCTGGGTCTGAATTCTGTGCTCTTACCTGCTAATCCTGAGTTGAAAACCACTGTGGGTGAGGACGTCCCGGGCAGCGGGGGTGCAGAGGGAGGAGGAGGGGGTGGTAAAGGAGGAGCCAGCACAGTTTCAGCGGCAGGGCCTGGGAGAGGGGGTGGAGGGG